ATATTTTTTAAACTTTATATTAATATCATGTGATATAGGTTGATATGCACGTCTGTACATCCCAGTGGGCTTTAAGATTCTAATATCAAAATCGTATAAAACATTTTTTCATGTACACAAGAAACCCACACGTTTATTTAATTCTAAAATTACTTATATTTATTTTTTGGAGCAATGAATTTTAGATTAATAATAATTGTGGTAAAGTTAGCTCGTTATTAACGCCGCGGCAGTGCGTCAGATTCACTATGAATGTTAATGAATAATGGAAGTTAATGACGCGAGACGTCAGTATCGCTGCCCTCGAATAGCCTTTTATACATTTCATGATGATGAATTGACGTTCTGCCTTAACGCGTCGCTACCTTTACAATAAAAAAAATGCATTCGGAAACCCTAATTATGAAGACTACAGTCGTAAACCGGCCCCATACTACTAATATGAGATCTTCGACGTCTCGACACGAGGTCATATCTGCGTTGGTACGACAAAATGACACAAATGTATGTCTGGGTACAATTGACCTAATGTCACTTGTACCCCTACCATGACTTTAGAGCGACAGTTGTCGTCTGGGACTATTTTACGCAGTCACTGTAGTTATGATAGAGGCACTGTGAAGCCGTTGCCACCGGACGAGAATTTCTATGGCAAAATCGTTCCTTTTGGACACTCCACATTTTGACACATATCTTATTTGAGATAGCTTCCGAAAGCAGCTTCTTTATCTACGAATTAGTCCGTACCCTTGATATGATAATGCCACGTTTCAATGTGCTTTTATCATAGGAAAGTCATAAAAATAATACGAAACAAATTATGTATATGTGAAATTTTAGAACTCTCCTATTTAAGAGTCGAAACCTCAAATGGCTTTGGTTGGTTCATAACGGAAAGTGTTGAATAGCTACTGAAAAATTTTTTTATATCATCTGAACTAAAGAGAACACGTATACTATACGATATACATTTTTGAAATGGCTTTAGTTCCGTTTGTAAAAAAAAAAATATTCTGAATAAAGCCAGTGGTCCGCTCGACCCGCGCAATAGAACCGATTCGGTGCGGGAAAAAAATTGCATTCGAGCTGAGGTAGTAGGTAGCGACTCTTTAAGAATAAAAAATTTCGACGTAGAATCTTTAAATCTCTCTCGTCAAGACATTATGCATAATTATGTAGCATTATTGCACCAAGAGCGAGATTTGTTTTTCGAAATATCTGTCAATTCCTCCCTCTTCTCACTAATATTTTTGTCGTCATCTTTTAAAAGCGAATTGTCCACTAATCTTTGTATCACCTTTTTATCGGTCACTCTCGAACTGGTGTTTACTACCTAATTTCCGTAATATTGTTTAATATTCGAGTAGTGTATTGTGAAATATTATTTAATAATTACACGTTAATATACTTGAATATGTCAATAGTGAACAAGTCAGAGAATGACCGTTCTGTTTAACTCATTGATAGAAGGCGATTCATGCGAGCCGCTGCTCAAGATGTGAAGTGCCAAACCGGATTGCCGGATCAACGTATTGACGTTGATCAAAAAATCCGTCTAACACTATTTACAAGAGTTAGTCAGGACAGGGAGGAATTAAAGTACAGTGTACATAATGTCAGAGCTAAATTCTTTTGGACATGCAAAATTATAGTTTTGTAAAGATTTATTATCATTGCTCAATAGAAATTTATTAGGAATTTAACCATTCTGGCAGTGAGCCAGCGCCCAATATCATTGCAAGAAATTCTGGTTGAACTGTTGAACGTTTGGCCTATTGTTCATGTTTGGTGGCATGAAATTGTTATTAACCGGCATGCCGTACATTGGCATCATTGGCGACATGATTGGCTTGCCAGTGTGGGCCGGACTACTCGGGTTAGACTTTAGTTGGTTTATTGACGGTGCGGGACCGGACTTGGGCGATCGCGGGCCGAGCAAGTTGTCGACGTCGATGTTAATGGCACCCGTCGTGTCGGCCCATGTGGCGCCGATTTTCGTCGTCTTATTGTTTGCTTGCTGTTGTTCTTGGTTTTGCGGTGGCGTCATTGGTTGCAGGAGGTTGGCCGGGGTTGGTTGGATACCTGGTTGTAAAGTAAGTTATACGCATAATTAGTGAAAGCGGAATATTATAATAACTAAGTATAATGAGTGTGTATGACCAGAATCCTCACTATTGAATTAGATCAATATTTCTATGCCCAAAAATAGACACAAAATTAAAAAAAAATAAAACGACTATATTTTCAAAGTTAAATTATTATGACCACCAGCCTAGACGTTTCACTGTTGGACACGGGTCTCCTCTAAGAACAAAACTTTAAAAAAACCACGTGTTTTCAAAGGATAGTTGAACCGTCTTTGACATATAGATTTCATAACGATGTTTTCCTTAAACGCAACATATTTTTCATCACACTTGCACATAAATAGTATAATAGCATGCAGGTTAACTTGACTACAATGCCCCAAATAAAACCCACGGGCCTTTTTTCTTCTCATTACACGACCTTGGCTGTAATAAGAAGAAAAAAAGGGGCATTATAGTCATGTTAACCTGCATGAAATCATACTATCTATGAACCTCGATTCCCAAAGCCGTCAGTCAGTCTCCGACTTCGAGTTTCAAAGAGTCTTGTTCGTGATTCCTTATTTATAGCCATTAACACACAATGTACCATGTATACATAATTTACTTCTTGTGACACCCTAGCTGTCAATTTCTGCAGCGCTGTACAATTTGCCGCACGAAATTGTGAAATATTTTACGGGATAAGTAAGAGCTGTTACTGCAATCCTACGGTAGAGGCAAGTACAGACTTGTCCTATTAGCTGTTGCTCTTACGGTAGTTTAATTTAATTATCGTGTATTGTTTAATTACAGAGTTAAGTGCTTAACTGCCTCTGTGGCCCAACGGTTACCATGCCGGACTGCTACGCAGAGGTCCCAGGTTCGATTCCCGATTATACCGGGAGATATATTTGCTTGGCCTACATTTATTTCTCTCGTGAGTTTAGGTGTAATTTGTGGTTGTCTATGTGTGTCCATGGCACCCGCGACACAGGGTTTCCCCAGTGCGGGGCTGTGTTGAGTGTGTGCGTTGTTATTATTATTATTATTATTTAAGTGGAAGCATGTATGCTGTACAGGACCTAACATAAAGTTGAAGTTATACTGAATCTAAAACAAAATAGCAAAATAATTTTATTTTCTTTTGAATATTTAATAATATGCTATGCGATGCTATTTTCTATGATGTACATGGTGTGATGAATGAACTGAATATGAACTATAATGTTGTGACTGCTGTGTATAGCTAACCTGCTAACGAACAGACAAAACTGACAGATGGCACGTTCACGTCTTTCGTTGGTTTGTTTTGGGTTTTGCTGACATCAACGACTGGACTAATAAGTTGAATGAATACAAAAGAGCTAGTTGGATCCATGTACAGAAACATCATGAACAGAAAATAGTGTCTTATGTAAATAAGGACGCTGCAATATACACTTTTTTTATGATACCAAGTGAAGGGACGAACAAGTGGTGCGATTGGTGGGCAGGGATACGCCCGGACATACCAATTGCAGTACCGCTCAAAGCTTTATGTTGAGGCCATACAGAGGCGGCCGCGGAAGCGTTCCTGACGCGGGAATTTTTGTAATGTACGAGTTCATTTATGAACCCTGGCACACTGAAACCCGCGGCGGCCGCGTCTGTGTGGCCAGAGCATTAAATCGCAAAGATCTGAGGGGCACTATCACTGCGCTGGTCACCCTGAGACAAAAGTTGAAAAGTTCCATGTGCCAGGAATTTCAACAGCGCCATTCAAAGCCGCAACGTAGTAATGAAAATGTTATTTCTACGATTTAAAGTCTACTTTTCAGCACAATAACATTGATCTACTTCTATAAAAAGGACGTAGACGTCATATAATAATTTTTGAAACCTGCAGGCCTGTTTTACGGCTATAATTTAGTTGATAGCATTTATGAAAATATAATTTATGTTGTTTTTCATGAAAAAGTGTGACAGACATAACAATAACACGAGGAATAAAAATAAACTGGCTGTTCTTGACAGTCGTCGTCACAAAGTGACAAATTCTATCAAGGTGCAATATATATAATAAGATTTCGGTTGTTATTTCAAATTTACTATTTAAGAGGTTTGAACTATCGTGAAACAGAACTTTAATAAAAGTTATACGTAGCTTCTGTAACCCGTTTAGTTCTGTCAGGTAGTAAATATAGCAAATTATAAATGTGAACAGATGTCTGTTTACAAAGAGAACCATTGGAGTTTCTTATTTATTCTTCTCTGGAGAATATGCCTCACGAATGAATAGCAGTGTTTAAAGTTACTATTTGAAGTATAATTTTCTTATTATTGAATTAATAACTGCTTCAGTGGCTGAACGGTTACCATGCTGCTCTGCCACGCAGATATTTGTATGGCCTACATTTGTCTCTCTCGTGAGTTGGGGTGTAATTTGTGGTTGTCTATGTATTAAAAAAATTAAAGGTATTTTTGTATTTAATAATCATTAAACAAATATAAGATCAATATTGCGAACGATTTTGATCCTACTTTAAAACGAATGGCAGTTTTCGGAATGTTATAGTTCAAAATTACACAGGCTGGAAAACTCGTAATTTTCGACCAATACTGCCTAACTTTATGCAAAATTATCGAAATCATATATCAAAATTGTAGAACATTTTCCATAGATTTCTCCTGTAAACAAATGGGGTTGTTCAAGGTTAGTGAATAGGCATATTTTTGATAAACGCGTACCGTCACCGCTTATAATCAGTGGAGATGTGGTCATTGAGCGTCTATTTTCTATAGGGCAAATAACTGTCCAACAACAGTGAGCGAAGCTTTTTTTGGCATCCACTTAATTTGGACATGGCAACCGGATTCTCTTGGTGACTCAACCAGCTTTGAAAATGAACGATTCGACCTGAGACAGATAGGAAAATATTCAATTGCATAATAGATAACTCTTGGTCTTCGCCTTATTGGAGAATTTCAAAGAATCTATATCTTCTACGGTCAACAAGAGTAAGTTTTATGCTAAATAAATTTATAAAAATATCAAGGTCGAGAAATGAAATCCCATATAAAAGGAAGCACATTTATTAAAAATTCTTCTCTCGTAACTACACAAGAGCGGTGGGTGTATCTAAACTTCATAAACCGAACAAACTCAATTAACAGTAACCGTTAAATTCTTTTCAATCAAATGCAATATTTGACCGGCGAAAATGGCCGTCTCAGATTTGGGACCTCCCAATTTGAACGTCAAATCCACGTTGCTTAACAAATCCGCTAGCCAGGTTCGGAATTCCATCATTGGGTGGAAAAATTCGCCAATCAAAATTGACGTCGGCAACGCCAAAACAATTGAAGCTATCAGGGATATGACACATGCTTGGATTTTCGGATCAGGCGTGTACCTCATGTACATCAGCATAGGGATGATTTCTGAACAATATTGAGGACATTTTGGGCAATTTTTCGAAGACAAAATTATGTTGCCAACGACTGCCAAATACTTGTATAGAAGTATACTGTCGAAATCCTGTTTGACGTTATGGTGGCTTAACGATAGCTGTCTGGAACCAAAACCGCTTACGAGAGGGTAGAAGAAATAATCCGAAACAGCAGCGAATTCGTTTTTCTTCGCTTTCGAAAATGGATGGGGCCTTATTGTGTGGAAATATTTAGTTTTGTTTATAAGTCTGCGGCGTATTATTTCCTCTGCTGGGATTTCTAAGTTTTCGTCCACTTTGCTGATGATTTCTTTACTTTTCTGCTCATCTTGCGGTCTCACATCAGCTATCCTGTTCGCCGATTCCGAAAGGACGTCAAGCATGAATATCTTCGTTGCTATTGAATATCGACCGATATCCGTGTGAATGTCTTTACATAAATGTTCGGCGGCAATTTTTGGTTGACTACAAACAATGGCGACTGACGTGTTAAACTTTATGCTATCAAAGTCATCAATGCGAAATTTGGGCTCCAAATGTATGAAAAGATCGAGCAATTCCACAGCTAGCTTCGGATCTTCATTCTTCAATTGCTTATTGACCAATTCTTCAGCAACTTCAAGGCTTGACTCAAAAGATTCTAAATCCTTGGATTCATTTATAGACTCGATCAGATCTCGTAAATAATTTGGCCGTTTTTTAGCATTTATAGATACATCATTGCTCATGTCGTAAGGTTGTAAATCGTCGTCTGAATCTAAATCTTCACTTAACGTCTTGTTATCTTTATTTAAAGCGTCTAATTTGGCAGAGATTATCGATTTGACGATTTCTTTTGTTTGTTCTTGTGATTTGACTGCACAAGACATCATTGTATTTTGTACTGGTCTGTGTTTGCGATCTATTACTCTGTCGGCAATGGTATCTAATGCATATTTTAAATCAACTCTTCTAGATTTAAAGTTGTCAGGCGGTGCTATAGTGTCGTCATTAAGACATTTAGTTGTTAAGTCTTTTAAGATTTTTTGTATCTCAAGACAGACTTTTCCCATACTTTCGTAGTCGAACGTTAGAGTTTCAACAGCATCTTCATTTCTATGTTCAATCTCAGTTAATATCTTTAAAATTATTTCTGTGGTTGCCATTCCAATGCACCTGAATTCTTGTGACAAAACATCCAAATGTTTAGACATTCCTTTGAATAAAACAGTCTTAAATTCAACAAAGTCCCATTGTTTATCTTTCATAGTAATTCGATATTTCACAGCTAGTATCAGTAACTGTGACAAATACACATGTTGAGTTATATTTGAGGTATTTGCGAGTTTCACGTCGGACCAGGCGTTTACAATTCTTAAAATAAATTCAGATAACATATCGCTCGAGTCTTTTGAAGTGGAAATGTAAAAAATTAAATTTTCAATGACGTCCGTCTCTTTATAATCTCTAGGTTTATAATACAAGGGTATTTTTTTTGTTAAGATTTCCTTCCAGTCTTTATTTTTATCCAAATTATGTCCTAAGACGTTCAATATGGGTTGTTCTTTATTTTTATAATTAATTTGACATTTTTTGAGCAACATTACAGAGATGCAATCTATGGCTTGTCGGTTTAGGTGGAATAGTACAGTTTGAATTAATTTCCTCCTGACATATCTACTACATTCCTTATTCTCTGGCCCAGACCAGCTTATTAAAACATCTACAAACTTTGAAATAGCCTCTGAATTCCCATTCATATTGTAATTTATTATTACCTTGGATAGTAAATTGGATAAGTAGGAAATATCATAATGTGTCCCTTGGTGGAAATTGCTGTCTGTCATAAAATCCATACTTCGTATTACATGAAATATTAAAATGCATGAAAAGTTTTCATGTGAAAATTCCTTTGGGGTACTTGTTTTTAATTTATTGGCAACTCTTTCCGGTAGTGTTACTAAAATTTGTATGTAGTTTTCCCAATTGGTTTCGTGTTTGTAAAGTTTTATTTTTTCTTCGATATTTTCGCTACTGCAATCTAATATGGCGACTAAGACAGCATCACTTTTCGTGTATTTCAACAAAATAATTGCCAAAGCTTCCAAAATATTTTTTTCTGTCTCGTTCCTCAAGAATCCGGATAAAACTGTTAAAATCTCACTACTTAATTCGAAACTTTCTTCCAAAATGAATAAATTCGTCACCTCGTCCTTGAAAATAGGCCATTGTGGTAACAACATCTTTATGATAGTGCTTAGCAACTGTGAATACGTTTCTATTACACCGGAATCAAGAATTTTTTGATCGATTTTGCATAGTTTCTGTACGGTAATAGGCCCTGGTAAGTATTTGTAGAGATTGGTAAGGCATTTCTTGATGATGGAAAGGTCTTTTTCGCATTTTATCCTCTCAAGTGAATGTAGGGTGTCCACAAAGTGTGTTATACAGCGGGGGATTCCTTCGGAATTATTCTTCACTTCACTTTCACTTCCTGTAACGAGAAAATGCCTGAATGTGCCCAAAACTGTCATAACAAACATAAATATCGCGGCATGCTTACGCGGGTACATTATAAACAAATATTAACGCTATCAATTTATGTATAAGCCGAAAAAAACTCGATGTTGTCGATTATGTGACTCCTAGTTCTTTATTAAAAAAAAAAACTTAATTTCAGAACATATGTTTTAATCTTAAGATTATTTCTTCGTAAGAAAATAACTGACTTCATTTCACTTTGAATTATTAATAGTAATTGCTGGTAGACTACTATACGATTCTTTAAATCATGTCTCTGTATCACGAGTAAAGAGCTGTTTAGATAGATCGTAAATCCTCTGTTCTATTCTTTATCAAGTCGTAAGAGCTGCAATAAAGTCAAACTAAATAATAGAATATACGAAAATTTCGTTAAATTAAATTTAGAAATCGGAATCACAGAATCGATACGAATATTTCTGTCAATTCACAGGAAAGTAGAACAGATATGATGACCTCTTTTTCTGGAATTATTTTTGGTAATGAATATGTAATGGCATATGTAAGGCTTGCAGGTTTTGATTTTGAATAACCGTTTATGATTAAAGTAAAAAATCTTCCATTCAGGTGTTCAAAGAAATTGTTTGGCTAAGTGAGCAAGAACAAAATTGCACAAACTCCCATAACAAATTCGTGGTGTTTCATGAATTAGAAGATGCGAGAAACTTACCCTGCATTGGTAAGGTGGGTTGCAGAGGGGCGCCCACGTCGGAGAGGCTCAGCGGGGCCAGCGGAGGGGGACCCAGCTCGCTCAGCAGGTCCACGTTCGACGCCGGCGCGGCTGTACGTTGGGGGGTGTTAGTCACAATGTAAATCTTTTTACGCCATCCATAAGTAATATACTGTGAGTTTTTGTACAGTCGCCTTCGGACTATTCGCGGTCAAGTCAATGTCAGGGATGAAGCTTCAGTTATACAAATAGTTCAACTTATTATTTTTTTAATTTCATACCTAGTGACGGGACGAACGAGTCGTGCGGCTGTTGTCAAGCGACACGCATATCCGTAACAATTGCAGTGCCACTCAGATTTGAGAGAGAGACACTTTAAATCGCAAAGACCCGAGGGGCACTGGCACTTAAGTCGACAAGACCCATGTGCCTGTATTTCACCTTTACATACTCTAATATAATCGTGCGTCACCCACGGCGAAACGAAAGAGCAGCAGGAAGAATACCTGCGGGCGGCTTGGGCTGCGCGTCGGCGGCGCTGAAGGCGCTGGAGAAGTCCGCGAAGGCGTCCAGGGCGGCGGGCGCGGGCGCGGGCGGCGCGGGCGCTGCGGGCGTCGGCGCGGGGGCGCCGCCGAAGGCCTTCGCGAAGTCGCCGAACTCGACCGAGTCCTTCCGCGGAGCCTCGTCGGCCCTGCAACGTAACACTCGCCTGTCACTCGCGGCTTCGCGTCTCGATCGGTTTTCGATTGGCGAGTTTACAGTGACAGTCGCTTTCGAAATATTTGCACACAAAGTATTCCTTCTTCTTGCACCGCCAGTGGCGCTGTGCGGGTATCTCGCACAAAACTGACAAACATTTAGCGCGGTCGTTCTAAACGCACGGTCATTTAACAGCGTATACTACAATGTAACAGAAATCAAAATAACAATAGTAAGCGAAGAGTTCACCGCAGATATAAATTACGGGTTAGCTGGATTATGTAAAAATTTTACAGCTGACGTCACTTTGAACTATTCATTACAGTGTTATTTGTGGTTGTTTTCATAACACCTTATAATGAACAAATTCAGCATCGTAGTATCAAATGATTCTCATACAAAAAACGGTACAATATTTTTGAGGTGCTATCTATTGGTGCAATGTTAAACTTTGTGGTTGCTAACTGTTAATAAAACGTTAAACAAAGACTATTATAATAAGGTATAATATATATTATATAATATATAATATATATATATATATATAGTTTTGAATTCTCATTTGTTGCTAAGCTTTAAATAATTTTTCCTACTAACAAGTTGTCATTAACAAACATTAATAATAACCCAAATACGTAATTTAGCTCAGTAAAACTCAAAGCGAACATAAAAATGGGTTACCAGCAAATTCTAATTTAATAAATAATAAAAAAATTGTTGATTCTGGGACAATTTCGAAAGACTGGAAGTACGAACATTGGAGCAAAAAAATAACTGCTTGAGTTATTTTTTTGATTCGATTGTAATGTGCATAAAAAGTAATTTGAACATAGTCATACAGAAGTCATCTTTCAGAATCCAATTGAACGCAGAACTTTTAGAAGTCCAAGGAAGGGCTCACCGGGGGTCGAAGTCGTCTTCGAGCACGAGTGACGGCCGAGACGGCTGCGGGGGCTGCGACTGGGCGGGCGGCGCGCACGTCTTGAACAGGTCGTCCAGCAGCTCCTGCGAGTTGGCGGACGGCGGGGCGGGCGCCGCGGCGGCCGGGGCCGGGGCCGCGGCCGACTTGGCGTACGTCGCGGCTGCGCCTGCATAGGCGACGTACAATATACGTGAAACGTCAAATTGGAGTGGTGGTTTTCGTGATTTCCCGCTATAGACAATTTTGTGTCCTGTACGCAACAGTGGTGAAAGGGGTATCTGAAAAGCGGCAGGTTGGCGCAGGGGTTTATTAAATTACAAGGTACTGGTCTTCAAATATTTTTAAGAAAAAATCTGTATATTTGTATGCTTATTGTCGAACAAAGAAAAAAATAAATAACGGCGAGCCTACAATAGACAACTAGGCAATAACGCAACGTGTGACACCTGTCTTCCTCGCTTGCAACAACGCACGGCTAATTCTTCTAATCCCATCGCAATCCGGTCTATACCAGGTAGGGAAGAATGAATGCAGTCATTCGTCATTGGAGACAAACAAGCGAGAGCTTGTTATGTAATACCGGCAACGGATCAGACATTGTCAAGGAGAATTCTCAAATGTCATTATTAAGCAGAAAGTGGTAGAAGAAACGTCAGGACTCGTCGGCAACCAGCGCGGACTGTTGACAGCAAGTGCCGGGGCTCACCCAGGTCGATGCGGCGCGCGGGCGAGGCCGGCTTGGCGCGCGCGGGGCTCTTGAGCTGCAGGGTGAGCGCCAGCCCGTCGCCGGCTAAGCGCGGCCCCGGCCCCGCAGGCCCCGGAGGCCCCACCGCGGCCTCGGCCGGCGCCGCGTCGCGGTACACGTGCTCCCTGGACTCCCTGGACTCCCTGGACTCCCTGGACTCCCTGCAAGGCGCACGATCGCACGAGTCACCGCGGACGGAGTCTCGCGTCGGCGAGCTCCCGCGCACTCACTTCTTCGGCTTGCGGTGGCCGTAGTCGTCGTCGGAGTCGTTCCTCTCGTACTCCTCCTCCTCGTTCCGCTCTTTGGGCCCGTCGTCTGGGAAAAGACCACTCGTTTTACACGCACGTCGGCCTCTACGCGCGGTCTTCGCCGAGAATTCACTGCAATACCTCATATACTAACTGTAGTCTGTCTTTTTTGAAGACGGAGTGCAATGACAGTTCGTCGCGTAAAAGTATTGCCCGCTTGCAGTCAATAAATATTCTATCGACCCAGTAAGTTTTTATTGCGCTTATGACATAAATAGCGGAACTTATTTCAGTCATTAGCGACCAATTACTCGAATGTATAATGTATAATAATAATCAGAATGTCGTAAAATTCACAATTCACACAAGTTTATCATAATTTTACCTATTTTCACAATCTGTCGATAAAATTGTCGACAACAACTACATGACTATTTAAAATCTTACGAAAACTGGCAACCCTGCACATATCATTTTACTTCATTTTAAAAAAGAAACTATACATATAGAAATCGTCACATTTACCAACAAAACGGCATAAACCGTTTAGGAAAAACTTCACGTAAAAAGATTGAAAAAAACGAGACGCGTTTCGATTCCATTCGAACAGCTGAAACGAAATCCATTTATCCTTTTTCGCTCTCAATTCATGAACATACAGCTTTTTCTGGCCGAAATTGTGGTCACTCCCTAAGAAAAAGCGGCACGACTCTGGTCGCGGTGAATTCTGCCGCGCGACCTCGTCCCAAGCGAAACTCACCCCAAGTGCTGCTCTTGTCGCTGTACTCGCCCCACCCGCCAGCGCCACCCATTCCCGCCATTCCTGCCATACCCCCCATTCGCGAGCCCATGACCGCCGCCTCTGAAGACAGGCCTGTAACATTCCAAGACGAGGATTACATAACGCAACGATACAATCAGCATTATAGCAATAACAATAGAACAGAAATGCCACCATGCAGAGCCACTCACCGATATATTTGTCCTTATTCTTCTTGGCCTTCTTTCGCTCCTCGCGCAATTTGTCGTCGTCCTGGATGAAGTCGATCAGCTCGCGCACCTTGTGTCGGACGTTAATACCCTGCCGAGCACGATTCAACTCAAATTCAATAGAGTTACATAAAAATGTGCTCTTGTGACATTAGACACTAAGCTCTTAGTCTAGTACCAATCTTTCACACTTTAGACATCTACTGCCGAGACAATCAAATTAAATGAAGTGTATTTATATGCGAGTTTCTGCATAAATAGTAATTATTGGATTATACCAAAATAATGGTACTAAATACACACTACATTTTATTCATAATTAACCATTTGTATAGTTCAGCTGTATTTTTTTATTTTACCTGGCAGTTAACTCTAAATGTTCACGTATATTTTATATGGTACCAAAGAAATATTTCTTTTAGGTGAGCAAAGGCGCACTTATCGCCTTCATGCACTAATAAAAACTTTTATATAAATTCTTTAAATATCTATTTGGGCTTCTGGCAATGTGTTATTTTGCGGAAAATAAGTTAGCGATCTCCAGAGTGTTTTATGTTTCCGAAACTTAAAATTACATGTAAACTATCAAACCGAACAAAAAGGTACTGCGTGATGTTTACACTAGTTTCTAATGCGCAGACCTCACCGCGAATGAAGCTAAGCTAACTTAGCTCACGTAACCGGGTCATCTTTTCATACTTCGGTTCACACCGTGAACTAAGCTAACAGAGCTAGCTAAACTAACCCAACGATCCCGGTAGCTTTGTAAAATATATCGCCCTTCTGCCGCCCTTCACCCCCGCAGGTATAGTCACTACTTACTACGTATTTTCTTAGCTTAGTTTTGCATGCAAGTACGTGAGCTAAGCAAGCTAAGTTAGCTTTGTTCGCGGTGTGGCCTGCGCTTAAGGCAAGTTGGCATCAATAGAGTATTCCACGCGACTATTCGGTTTATTTAAAAACCGTTTGTCGCATTTTGAGAGCAGTGGAAAACTCGCCTTAATTTCCAAAACAATACGCCCATAGACTGATGACACACATAGACTGATTCTCACCTGGTCTTTGCCCAAGTCGTCCACGTAGGTATAGTTCTCTAACGAGCGTAGATCGTAGATGTGTTCTCTTGCTGACGTCACCACGCGCTCTGACCCGTTACGAACTAAGTAGCTCAGCAAAAGAAGGCACTGATGACAATACAGATAGACGTTCATTTACATAAACGTTAATTACCATTCATCATTAAAAATAATTAGTCACAAGGAAAAAAATTTCGCCAATAAAAAGCTTTGAAAACTACTTAGTCGTTATTGTGGAACCTAAGTGCGCTTGCGCACAGCACCCGATTCGCATTCGTTCCGAATCCGAGACTATACAAATCTAGAAAAATCGGACTCACTTCGGATGTCGCTTGTGCACTAAGTCCGTTTCGACTCCGGGACAATACGAATATCGCTTGTACACCTAGAGATAAAATGATCCCTGTGACATTTCGGAACGTCATTTCTCGGATTCAGAACTGATACGATGACGTAGTGCGCAAATGCTCTAAGGCAGAAATTGATTTCTTTTCTACCATCAGATGATATCAAGTGTTTATCAATTCGGATTGAAATTAGCAATAGTATAAAAGGTTGCGGAGAAAAATCCATTCTTTTACGACTTGTCATCTTATATTCATAGGCCGCCATAGTATGGACTTGGCCTCGGGAGCATAATTACAACGAAACCAAGGAAATAGAAAGATAGAGGTCTTTTCTTGCGAGGAGGAATGTATTGTAGCTGGTTTGTAACATGTGAAGTGATGGACCCAGACAATATTATCCATAGGCCCATTGGGCTTTTAGCGCTTTCCCCATTGTCCTTTGCTGAATCTTGGGGAGGTAAAGATAATTGTTTAAAAAAGATAGAGAGCAAAGTACGTACCTTATACGTGCGTCTCCAGTGTGATCTGTTATCGTGCAGCATCCGCCGCCAGAGCATGGACATGACCTCGGGGAAGTGTTCGTAGGTGAACGTGGCCAGCGCCAGCTCCTGCATCTGTTGCCCTGTGGGACCCCACGCCTCGTCTGATGTGGCTTCGCGAACTTTGCCTTCTATCTCCGTGTAGTTCATCACTACGTTTGTTCTGAAATGAGAAACAAAACACAAACAGAAGGTCAGTCAATTTTGGGTCAATACACGTAATGACCAGATATTTTATGCTGTTAACTAATAAGTAATCCAGTCGAGTGTGTGTATAATTTTATTGAATTTTAGACTCTCAAGTGTAGCCCTTGCATATTATTACGCACATTTAACGGCGCTACGCAAACTATATCTTCGTCTTTGTGCTATACTGACCATTTCCACTTTAAGATTTAAGAACACCGAGCACAAAAGGTCTAGCAGCTGCAAAATTTGTAAGATAAAAATAAATTCCACCAAAATTTCGTACTCTATATTGCTACGCAAATAATTGTTTAAGTAAAAAAAATTACGTCCATTAGTGTTGAAAGAATAATATCATCGTATACGGGTAACAAGGATTTAGAAGATAACAAACAGGTATTGGCGATTCTGTTTTCTTTTTTGTTTCATTACACGACGATGTCACATGTCAATGTCAAGAAACTAGTACAAGATCATATAAACCACATTTACGAATAGAGTGCTCGGTTATTTACCAGATAAATCCCTTTATTTTCAATTCAACTGGAATCAACATGTCCATATTTTTCCACCAACATTCCCCACTAATCCTTGATTCCCCGCCAAGCAAAACTCTTGTCACAAATTGCCGCCAGAGGCGCCACAACCACAGTTTGTCAAACGATTCTTATTTAGACCAACTCTCATTTAGAATCAGCAGTAGATTCCTTGTGAAAGAGTTCGTCCAGGGAAGTACTGTCACCTTATTCGTCCCGTCACTTTGTATTATAAAAAAAAATCGCTAATACCAGCAAATGAGGCAGCTAGTCTAGAAAGCTCGAGAAGGTCCATATGGAAATATTACAGAACTTACATTTAGTGGAAGTAAAATAAAAAGTGGTTGAAAACTATTCGAGGTAAAACAATCAGCCGCGAGCATGGAACCCGTTAAGATCCCTAAACGTTGGTTTGTTTAAAAATCATATATACGCGATATACATATTTCATTTGTTATGTGTAACAATCACGAAAACCTCAGAACTTGAGAGGTAAAAAAATATATACATACAATTTTTCATCTTGTGCAATTGGCATTTACACATAAATAGTTTTTGCTATTTAAAATAACCATTACTGACTAACAAACATCTAGAGTCAGTCGTGACTATGGGACCTGTCAAAAACCCGAAATGTTGGTTGGTTTGATCGAAAAAAAAAAACACGCGATTGAAAAAATGATGAAAAAAAAACAGTTTCATTTTCAATTCCTGCAACGAGAAAACCTAAAAACCAGAAAAAATTGTTCAATTATGTTTAATTAACGACTTCAAGTGTAATTCATGAAATAAAAATAATTTGAATTTGACAAAAAAGATACGACAATGCAAAACATGAAATGGCGTACAATAGCTGTGGACAATGTCACATTGTTAATTTTTTCTATTCATACCGTAACCATACAACAACCACCACGGTTTTTTTTTTCATAAGGCGCCATTTAGCGGTTGCCCCTGTACCATGAAAAAACAAATAGTTTATTCAATGACTGTGTAATCTGCCGTCGGGAATTAATGTATTGCAGATTATGCATTGCCGAGCTATGCATTGTTATCGTAAGCAGTGATCTTCAATCTTAAAGTGAAAATGGCTAATATAGTACGCAGTCGAGGACGTAGGTGGATTTTGTAGCACCCTAGTGCCATTTTTTGTAGACTGTACAAAATAAGGTCTACACAGTAGTTAATTCAAGGTTCAAAAATCAGAATTGCGTACACATGACTGGACTACTTTCATTAATTTGTATGGATATCATTGCAGACTTCACATATTGTGCTGGTTGGAAGTTGTAAATATAAACACTAAATAGTTGTCAGAATTATATTAGAAATTGGCAACTTCGGTAGCCTAACGATTTACACTATGAGCGCTGGACGAGAAGGTTCCGGCTTCTATTCCCTATTTCTCAAATGGATGCTTATTTGAGAAATATTTTTTATTTATTTATAATTAGTAATACAAACATCGAACACTTAGAAAAAAAATCCTTAGGTTCGGCAGGATTCGAACCAACGTCTTCTAGCAAGCCGCGCCAGACGCTATACCAACTAAGCCACGGAACGAACCAGCAGATATTACGAATTTTTCTGTGCTTTTTGCAGATCTTTGTTTTTGGATTTTAAGCCGTCAATAAACATGTTCCTCATATTTAACCCTTTCTGACATGCCGTGGCCATAAAACTTAATACTAAAGCTGTTGTGTGTTTTGCTAATTTAATACACATTACATTATACACTTAAATATCTTCACAAATAATTACCTTTTACACTATACTATGTCACAAGAAACCCACTTGCATAATTTTAGTGAAATTATGAAAATACATATTTTTATATGAAAATTCGAAAATACATAATTTATGCAAGTTGTTTTCTAAAGCTTGGCCACAATTTCAGGTGGTGTTCAGTTACGCTGTGGTCGATGACAACGCGTTCGTGACTTGAAAAGCACTAAATTGTAGCTTTCGAAAAAAAGACGTCGGCGATGAATTACTAATCTAAAGCGCTTCGGACAAGTGGGTGGTAAGTCAACGACTTTCGGATGGAGTGTTCCGGACTTTCTAGCACCGATAGCGAAAGAAGAATGGCGAGGTTGGAGGTAAATATGAGAGCTATGTAGATTTTAAGACTTTCGTGGTTATTCACTAAATGATTATCACTAGTATCAGGTTTCTTACCACGGTATGACTTCTTTTTATTTTCCCGATATTTCGGAACGGTTGCACGCTCCGTGGTCACGGGTTGCAGTAAACTGAAGATATTGTATGTGAATATACCCCAATACTAATTTGCTAGAAAAGTTCCTTCCGATCTGGCTGGAAAATTCCCTTGACCCCGGTGTGGCAACAGAAGCTGGTTCGAAACCAGCCAGATCGAAATAATTTTTGAGTTGTTCGATCTTTTGTATCATTATGAATAATAAATATTATTTACCATTTTACAATTACCAATTTAAAAATGTCGTTTGTTATTCATAGTATGACAACAAAAGTATTTCACGCCTTGAATTTATCGCTTTGTCCATGACGACAAATGTCAGCGGAGAAAACAAGCGCGGAGAAATTGTTACAATATACGTGTTACAACCCGCATGTGCAATTAGAATGTACAATGTTATATTTTCTTATCGTATTGAAATGTACGTTGCAATTAGAGGGCGTAAGGTACGTACCATAAGTACGCATTTATTGCTACATCTTGTAAGAATCATCCCTTACAACGTTAATGTTAGTGAAAATAACTTGCAAATTTTACGAAAATGTATTATTTAGTATTGTTCATACAAAGATCGTATAAACACAAAGAAATATTCCCTCGATCCGACTGAACACGAACCAGCGTCTATTGCCAAAACGTGGCTACCATCGCAACAAAAAAATATTATTTATTTAAGTACATTAAATTCTGATTTGAAATACGAAAATAACTTTTATCGTCAAAGTTGTACGTTATGTACTTGATTATAAATTGAAGAGTGATCTAAGAGCAGTAAAAAATCTAAATATTGCTACTCAAAAGGCACCAAAAGCGCAAAAGTTATTTTGAAAAATATCTGTACACAGTTTGTATGCATACAACACATACAAACTGCACGCAAACATTAAGAACTGGTTTGTCCTAGTAGTCAATGATAAAAAAATAAGTTATTTTTCCTAAATAATAACGCACACACTCAACATAAATGTTGTTTAAGGATAATTTTCGTTCTAGAGACAATAATAATAATACAAGTTATTTATTCAACTAGGATCTATTGGTCATAGTATTACAAACATATTGCTATTGTTAATAGTTATAGAAATAATTTAAAACAAATTAACTTAATAAATACACTACACACTTATGTAACCAGACAATGTTTTTATGCTTGTAAACATTGACTATGTTAACTGGTTTACATGTTTGTGTGTGGGGGAATCGGTCTACTCGCAATCGCCTCCAGAGTAACTGTTGGTGTTGGTCTGCAACCTGCTCATCAGCGAGGCAGCTCTTGCATACGATTGCGTGGAATCCATTTGTGCATGCCTCAGCGAATGATGCCCTACAAAAGCGAGGCAGCCCCAAAAGCGCTTGAAAAGCATCATTATACTGAACTCTAAAAGCACTAAGCGATTTCTGAGAAGCTCTGGGAAAAGTATGCTGTGAATAGTAGTAGTAGAGCTCCTCGTGAAAGAGTTCTGGCACCTTATCTATTTCTGTCGCCAAGCAGTAATGCGAGCATTACTGCGTTCCGGTTTTGAAATTACAAATGTGAAGAGGTGAAATTACAGGCACATGGGACTTCTTAACTTATGTCTCAGGGTGTCGGGCGCAGTGGCAGTGGCCCTAAGATCTTTGTGATTTAAGCTTTGCGTGGCATTGCAACTGTAATACATGTACTGTCCCGTCACTTGATATTATAAAAAAAACAGAAACCTACTCTTTGAACATGTTAATTGACTTGTTAGCCTACACGTTCACGATTAATGAGGTCTTTGCTTTACTGTGAAGTCGAGTCTCCACATGGTCTCGACTCCAAGTTGACATTGACACTTTGCTTTCTTATATTAAACTATTTATACATACTTTAAATTAGACCTCTTTAGAGGTTAAATAAAAGTTATGATATTTCGTCCATTATGTAGAAACAAATCATGAAGGAAAAAGAACCAAGCGACATCAACACCAACTGGCGCGTAGTGGCCGAAATAGCAAAGATAAGAAGCTAAAACTTTTAACATAATATAATTTATCAGAACAGGTAATCCATTAGTCATGCATTTAACCAATTAAGATTAAAATGCCTATGTGACATTACAACTAATTGCGTGAATTAGTTTAGTTGTATCACCTAAGTCAAGTATATAAATAGCGAAAATATTTTGTTCAATTATAATCCAAATAATAACAATGTGCTAGACAATTAAACCAATTACCTGATCTCTAGCTAAAGAATTCTCTGTACTATGAATATCAGTAGCCAAAATATCCAGAATATGTATATTAGACAGTCCACCTGATGGTAAATGGTCACCATCACAAATAGACATTGTATACACTACAGAAGTCTCTTTAATATCACAAATGTATTGCTGGTAGTGGAATTTAAGGTCACGAGTCTCTTCTGTCTGTAATTGCACTAGGTCTTCCCACTTTTCAATCTGTATAACCAGAAATAGATAAGACGGATTTACTTACCTAGGCAAGAGAACCTACATTACCACCAGATATCTATTCCATTCGGAATTTTGGAAAATAAAAAAGAACACACAATCCCTAGGTTATCTGAATCTTTTACACAGAATACCCATCACTGCTGATTAGATTTTATTTTAAACATTTCATACGGTTTTTTTACTTTATTAGTGCAAATCCATATTCTTTTGAACCACAAATAATTTAAGTAACAAACTGAAAAATTCAAGATTCAGATATGTATTTATTTAATAGGTTTTTTACACATTGTGAACACATGGGAATATTAATCTTTGTATGACAAATTCAAAATAACATACAAGTATAACAAATCTCAAATTGTTAGAAGTATGACAATTATTTATATAACAATAATTATTCTAGACAATATTACTAGGTTCTCTCACTTTACCAAACTGCACAATAAAATAAGTCTTCTGTGCTAAATGCAATGGAATACCTCCCTATAAAAATCTTTCTATGAAGTTTCATTGTACCTCAGCTCAGAGAGAGTTAGCCCGCGTTAGGCGAAAAAGTTGTTGGTTCAAATCCAGCCAGGCGAAGTAATTTTTCTTTGAGTTTGTTCCATCTTTGTGTCAATTATAAAAAACAAACTTTTATTTTAATATCATTGGTGAAACTTTAAAACTGATATAAAATTAATATAAGAGCCACATCTAGTATAAGCAGTGGGTGTCATCTATGAGTACTTATAGCTAGCACCTGATATTGAGTTGTTTGTTGTTATATTAGAATGCGGGTAAAACTAGATTATTTTATGTTGAATTACCGTCCACATATGCTTTCAGGCTTGAAACTGGATTCATCCCCTAGTTAGCCACCCTAAGAGGTGGAATATTTTGTTGAAATTTAAATGGGACCAATACTGAGGTACCCTCTTTTCAACAAAAAAGAATCATCAAAATTGGTTGATAAATGTCAGAGTAGTTGTGTAACATGCACACAAAAAAAAACCAGTCAAATTGAGAACCTCCTCCTTTTTAAGTTGGTTGAAAATGTTAGTTGTTATTACTAAGTAGTAACATGTACAGTCTACGCCCTAAGCTACCTGACCGCGTTACTGTTTATTTGGTTCTGAGTAGATCAGTGTGAAGAACGGTGTTCAACAAACTTAACCTTTAAACAGTGAGCTGTTAAAATTTTAAGAAACTTTAAAAGCCAATTGATCTTTAATTACATAAACACAAATTTCAAACATAAAGCTGGAATTTCTTTACATTTTTCTGTTGAATGCGGGAAAAGGCTCTCAGAACCAAATGGTTGACTAGGGGTCAGGTTGTTAGGGCATTGAATGTACAATTTTAGTAGCGGTAGAGCTCCTTGTGAAAGAGTTTGAGTTTGTAATATATCTTTTAAGCTTAAGAATAAGTCTTTTAAGCTTCCTAGGGTTTTTAGTCTTATGACTCGAGACTTGAGGTTACAAGACTAGACATGAGGCGTTAAAAATTAGTCGAGGTTTTTTAAAAGGCCTTGAAAGACTAATAAGGGTCATACTCTAGAACTCTACTAAATGCTCAAGTCAGGACTTGAGTATGATTCAAAGCACTAGAAATCATACTCAAGACCTTGCCATTAGGGTCGTATTTCCAAATTCCAAACCTCAATGCTCAAATCCTGACTTGAGCATTGAGTCGAGTTCTAGAATACGACCCTGAGTCTCTTTCATCACTAGACAATACACTATTACCTAGAGTTTTGCTAAAAAAATAGTAACTTTCAGGAATACACTTGCTCTTTAATAATTAGTTAATTCACTATTTCCTCTGACCAATGTGGTAATTTAAATTGTAAAAATAAATTGACTAATATCCTCATTAAAAAATTTCGTACAAACCATACGAATTAAACGTGTTTACTTATAATAATTAATCTCGTCGTATATGCACATACTTGTACCCAACTTGTACCAGTTGTGCATGCCTGGTTCTCAAGGACGATATCGAAAAGAAAAAAGATTGTGGAACATTCAATATTGTCAAATTATGCAATTACATGATATCGTATGGCCATCATTAATGAAAAACCGGTCCCGTAGCAGAGTCGGCTAGTGCACAAGCACGATAACGACTATTTTGGGCAAAAAACAACCGTAACTTTAAAAAAAATTAAATACGAGAACAGGTTAATAGAGCCTAATTTATTGTACTCAAACAATAAAATACAAAAATTCAGTAACAAAAGGTGGCGTTCAATAACGTTATAGACCTTTATTCACACCACAGATGGGAGTAATTTACATAAAACTTAAGCGAAAATTATAACAGCACTCACACTTTGTCCGCCAGCTCCCGAACTTTCCACATACTTATAAATCGATCCATTTTTGTAATTTATCTACAAAACGACGTTTAAAATCAAAAACACTGCAATTAAATGAGAAATAACGTAAAAATTAACTAAAAACTCGAGATGATGATTTGGCTGACATTCTTGCAAAATGGCGAGAGAATTAGTGTTGCCATAATTCGAGTCTACAATTCTAATATAAATGAAATATTAACAATTCGTCAATCTTAGCCTTCAATAGCCGAAGTTCCTTTAGAATGTAATGATCCATATTATAAAGAATGAAGATGAGCGTTTCTATGCAATAAAACTAAAATACTATTACACAATATACCATTTAATGCAGTTTTACTTACACACCTAGACACATTATAAGCAATAATACAGAGTATGGTCTTTTCATTGCCACAGAAGCATTACACATTTTCTTTACGCCCAACAGACAACAGTAGTTTACGAAATTGAATTTCAAAGCTCTGTGCTCTCCTCTAATTGCTAAGCCAGCACAGTAAAATTTATTTTTATCAAATTTTAAACTTTTTAAATACACAGTGTCTCTCCACTCGCCACTATCGGCAACCAAGCATTTATTGCATTTTTTCCTTCTAATGAGCTCAAAGCCCATTAGAAGGTCATACATCATTTTTTCGCTAGTTGATCATTTTGAGGCTGAGCTCCATAGTACTGCCACAGCTCGATTGCCTTGTTCGCTACTACTTCTTCACATTGTTCCGGAATCTGGAATAAAAAGATTGTTGAAATTTACCCGAATTAAATTCTATTAATTAGGATATTCTCTCTAAAAGGGTATCCCCAAACTGAAAAAAGAAAATACAAATGTGACACTGGTATCAACACATTCAGCCAATTTTACAGTTCATAAAGTTATCATCATAAATAATGCATCTCTCCCAAATGTTATGATGTAGTGTCTGAGGGTCGTATTCCAGAACTCTAGAAATCATATTCAAGTTATTGCCATTAGGGTCGCAGTTCACAGTATATTTGCCGATTATTTGTCTAATCAAACTCAATGTACTAAAATCGGTACCTACATAAGCCAGCAGGAAACTATAGAGTACGGAGTGCCGCAAGGGAGTATCCTTGGCCCTACGTTGTTCCAGATTTACGTTAACGAATTGTGCAGTATGTCTATTCCACAATGTCGTATCTTTGCTTAAGCTGATGCTACAGCATTAATCGTCTCTGGGAGTGGCTGAACCGACACGGTTGCTTCTGCAGAATCCGTATTCAGGTTGGTAATGGAATGGTTTAATAATAATCTACTTATACTAAATGTAGAGAAATCGCAATTTATTACACTGGCTACAAGACACACTGCCCATCCCGCTGAAGGCTCTATTGAAATCCGTGATCATACCTGCACCAGCGAATCGTCTGTCTGTAAGTGCCCCTCACTGATTGCATAAAGCATCTGGGTATCACTTTAGATGAGAGCTTCAATTGGTATGATTAAGTACAATCTGTAGCCAACAGAATAAGCAGGCTATCTTCGTTTTTAAAAAATTAATGTAATTCAGCGGACCGAAAAAATTTAGATGCTGTATACACGGCTCTATGTACTCCTCTCCTATCTTACTGTATCCCAATTTGGGGACGGGTACCTATAAAACGTCATTTATAAATTTAGAGTGAGCACAAAGGGCAGTGCTCTAGGTGATGCTCAGGAAACTGTACAGATTCCCCACCTCACAACTTTATGTAGACGCTAATGTACTTGTATTAGTACTTGATTATGATGAAACAGAACAAATGTTAGTATAGCTCGTTTTACGTCTCTTGTATCCAATTAAAAGTCTACTTAGGTAACACTCTTGTCCGCTTCAAATCTCATTATCACTCACGAAGAAACGCACAAACGCTCACACAAACACACAGACACGCACTC